CCACGTGGCTGTAGAAGGCGTGCAGCACCTGCCAGGCCAGCACCAGCGGGCTGAGCGCCAGGTTCACGGCGGCCAGCAGCAGCACCGTGCGGCGCCAGCGCGCGGCCAGGGCGCCCCGCTGGTCGCTGCGCTTGTAGGCGTCGGGCAGCTCCCAGCCGCCGCGGAAGAGCGAGAAGGGGCCGCGGAAGAGCAGCAGGTCCACGTTGAGCGCCAGGCCGCGGCTGAGGAAGCCGGCGCTGCCGCCCCAGGGCAGCGCGCAGCGGGCGGGCAGCAGGCCCTTGTTGGCCAGCGCCACCTGGTAGTTGGTGTAGCGCAGGATGCGGTGGTGCACGTCCAGCTCCGTCAGCGGCCGCGGCTGCACGCACAGCCCCCCGCTCCTCTGCAGCGCCAGGAGGCGCGACTGCACCTCCGCCCAGGGCGCCGCGCTGAGCTCCTCCTGAGGAGAGGGGACCCCGTGAGGCTCTCACCCCCCCCCCCCCCGCTGCGACGGGAATATGCCCCTCTGCCTTCCCCTCCCCCCACACCCGGCAAAGGGCACTTCCAGCTTCCTCCGCCTAGTGCAGGGAGGCCGCTTCTCCTGCCCCAGTGGCCGCGAGGCCATGAGTCAGCACTTCCCAGCAACACGGGGACACCTCACACCCTAAGCTCGGCAGGTATTTGATAACAGCTCCAGGGCGCCGGCCCCCAAGTCCACAGTCCTGCACTTAGGACATGGCGCTGCGGCAGCTGAGGGGCCTGGAGCCTCCCCTCCTCGGGCTTTGAGACCCCAGCCCAGCCCCACGCCATCCCCCGGTTAACGTCCTAAGACACTGGCTGTGTCCAGCCTGGCATGGGGCTGTCAGAGCGGGGCGCTCATCTGCCCCCTCACTTTAGCCCGTTTCACCCAGCTGCCCCCGTCCAGGTTAGTCAAGTCCCTCCGGCCAGCCTCTCCAGTCCATCCCAGGACTCCCTTCCCCTGGAAGGAACAGGAGGGGAGGGGGGAGAGGAGAGAAGAGACAGCAGGAAAGATCAGCGGGCTCAGCGCGGGGCGGTGTCCTCCCTGTGCCCCACTCGGCCCCCTGGCCTCCTGCACTGCACCGGCTCTGCCCGCCGCTTCCCTGCACAGGGGGCCTTCCAGAACCTCCCCGGGCGCTGCCAGAGGGCTGTGCGGAAGGTTCTGGACTCCTGAGGGGCTAGGGAAGCTGGCGGCAGTTAGCCTTGGAGCCTGCCTTGAAGAAGGAACGGAGGAGCAGGGCAAGCAGGAGTGACGGAGGTGGAGGAGGGGGGGAAGCGTGGCCAGCAGTGCAGGGGCCAGGTGTTGCAAGGCGGCCGAGGCCACGGCGAGGGGAGGGTCGCCCAGCGGCCTCAACAGACTGGGGGGGCTCTTTGCCTCCACCCCGTCCTGTCCAGAGCAGCCCGGACTCTTCCAGCTCTGTGAGCTCAGATGTGCTGTTTACACGGCCGCTGTTTTGATCATAAGCACGTGACTCAGTCATCCTCCACAGCCCTTCTACATTGGCCAAGCTGCGCCAGGTGAGGACTTGTTTTACAAGGTGGCACTCCGCCTTGCAACAGTATTCAGGGCCTCGGGTAGGTGTCATTGAGGCCTTCGGCCCTCTTTCTGATTGGCCCTGCGGTCTGCACCCGTAGCCCTCACCCACCTGGCACGGGGCACACAGACACCCCCACCCAGCTCACCGGGGGGATGTGCAGGGCCTCCTTGTAAAACACCTGGATGTCCCAGAAGCTGAAGAGGTTGCAGACCGAGCGAAGCAGCTGGAACAGCCAGAAGGCAGCAGCCAGGATGAGAAGAAAGACCAGCAGGGGGCTGGCACGGATCCTGGGGGAAGGGCAGAGAGCGGCAAGAAAGTGGGGGCCCGATAGACAGGGGACCAGACTTAGGGAGCCGTGGAGAAGTCATGGAGGAGACCAGCTAGACCAGCCACTCTCAAACTGTGGCCCTGAGGCCCCGAGCCTCTCACAGCGGGTCAAAGCCAACATTTCTGAGAACTCTGGGTTTCTGCCGCTGTCAGTGTCCTGCGATGGGTCGAGGGGTGCCATGCAATCCCCAGCACCCAGGGCCTGGCCGGCGCTGGGATACACGTGTGCTTTAAGTGCTAAAGCCGTTCTCAGCTTTCTGGCCTGACGAGGCACACGGCCCCTTGGGAGGCCTGACGAGGCACACGGCCCCTTGGGAGGCTGCTGTCAGTCTAAGCCTCCTAGGTCACCGGAGGCCCCGGGAGAACCGCTGTCTAGACCACAGGCCAGAGGTTGCCCACCCGCCCTCCGGCACTGGCACTCACCGCTGGGCACACTGGCCCGAGGGCAGGATGGCATCCGACAAGGTCACCTTGTGGAGCGGCCCGGCACTCGTGCGGTTATTCAGTTGGTTGGCAAAGAGAACGTTGTAATCCACGCAGCGCAGGAGGAAGGTCGTGAAGGCAACGATGAAAACGAATTGTCTGGGAGGTAGGGAGGCCATCAGGCCCTGGGAGGACCCAGCCTCCAGGGCAAGCCCCGCATCCCACCAGGGAGCCCCGAGCTGCCCAGGAAGGTGCTGGGCAGCCCCACAGCAGCAGGGGGACAGGGAGGGGGCCCCAGGACAGAGGCGGCCTCTCACCCCAGCTGGAAGAAGTCCTCCAGGAGGATGCAGGTGAAGCCGTTCCTCTGGTGGTAGCTGTAGACGTGGGCGGGTCAAGAAAAAGCCCGGCAGGAGGAGCCTGGCAGGACGGGGCCCCCACGGTCCCCCACCCACTCGGTCTCCCACCAATGTCAGTGCCAGCCCCCGGGGGTTCTCCTGGGCCGCCGCGCACCCAGCACAAAGGATATCTTGGTGAAGAAGCTGTCCAGGTTCTGGATGTGGTGCCAGGAGCCTGGGCACAGGGGAAAGTGTTGGCACCTGGCTGTCGCCTAAGCAGCCAGCGCCCAACCTCAGTGCCTGCCAGAGGCCCAGCCTGGGGCAGGCCCTGGAGCCCGAAGGCCCTGACACAGCCCCCTCACCCCACACCCACACACTCACCTCGGAGCCCTTCGGGCACATGCAGCAGGGGCTGCTGGTCCTCCCCGTGCAGGGGGGAGTCTTGGGACCCCTCAGGGTCACAGTCCTCCAGCCGCTCATAATCCTGCTCAGGGATCAGGGGGCCTATCCGCAGCCCAGGAGGGTCCTGGGGGCATCGGCGTGAGGGAAGGGGAGTCACCGAGGCCAGGGCTGGGGTGGAGTGGGAACCCCAGCAGCGGGGAGCAGAGATGGGCGTCGTGGTAGACCTCGCCTGCTTGGGGGGGGTTGCTGGGGTGGGGAGGGCACAGTGACGAGGCTGAGAAGCCCCAGGCCCCTGCATCGCTGAGCAGGAAGGCCCCGGGGCTGCAGCAGGAGCGGAGGACAGGCCGCTCCTCAGGTGAGGGGCCGGAGACAGAGAGAAGACCGAGACCCTCCCGCCCCCAGGCCCCCGGCAGGGAGGGGGAGGAAGAGGAGGCAGGGGCATGGGGAGGAGGGGCACTGATCCAGGCCCCGGGTCTCCCCACCGCCCCAGCCGTCCCCCCCGGCTCCCCCCCCAGCCTATTCGCCTCACCATCGGCCTCTCCCGAGATCTTGGAAGACGGGAGCTGCTGCCACCTCCGAGGCGTCCCGGGTTGCCGAGCAGGACGCCGGCAGGGACAGCAACAACAACAGAGCATGACTCAGTGGGCTCGTCACACCCCTTCCAGGGCAACCTGCGGCCAGGCCTCCAGGGCCCCGCCTCCTCCTCGCCTGGGAGGGCCGGCAGCTGCAGGGGCAGGGGCTGGAAAGTCCGAGCAGAGGAGACACCTATTAGCCCATCTGAGACCCGGCTGGAGTGAGAGAGCCCGGGAGCAGCAGAAGCAGGCACGCAGGAAGAAAGCCCTATCAAGGAATCGGCTGGTGGGCCCAGATGATAGGATCTCGGTTTCTTAAAAGCTTGTCTCCCCTCCCTGGGCCCCCCACCCCCATACATAGTGATCACCAGAGAGGTTTTTTTAGGCCAAAAGCAAAGAAAAAGAAAAACGAGGAGGCTGGTTTTCTGCCAGTGCTAAGAGAAGAGCAAAGGCCCACTTGGCAGGCGGCTCGAGGGCAACGTGAAAGGAAGGAGCCGCAGGGACAGGCCGCTACCTTGTATGTGAGCAGTGTTTTTGGGAGCCGGCAGTAGAAATATGGGGTCCCTTGGAAACGCCATATGTTTACTTCGTTATCCTCTTGAACCCTGAAGCCCGCTCTCCCAAGTCCTGATCCAGTGTCTGGGGTCCCCTAGAAGTATCCAAAGCTTGAGAAGCTGCAGAGGTGGGCAGCTGAAGGACAACTCATGGGCGACACAGTGACCTGACTGAGGGAGACCCTGTTGTCATCCCAGGAGGATGGAGGAGGCGGCGGCGGCCAGGCAGCTGGTCGGGTGGCTTGTCCGACGCCATTCTTGAGGCCTTGAATCACCAGGTTTCCTACTGAAGCCCATTCCTGAGGTGCTGACTCAGCCACCCAGGTGTCAGGGCCCACGGGGCTCAGGCCCCAGAGTCCAGGGCTGAGTTACGGGGCGAGGGACAGAGCTTCCGATTGCTCACCGAAGATCATGCAGGCCATCATGAACCTGCTCACAGACTGTGCCCATTCCCCCTTGGGGCCTCCTTCCTAGCTGGGGAAACCCCAAGGTAGCTCACGTGTGTGCAGCAGGAGGCGGAGCTGGGAGAATGAAACACTTCCCTTCCAGACTGCCCAGAGTGGAATCACACATTGCAGAGGATAGCTGTCAAGACCAGCTCTGTGGGTTTTGTCTGCTCTCTCCTCACACCCCCCCCCAAATTCCACGGTTTTGTCTGCTCTCTCCTCGCACACCCCCAAATTCCACCACGCTCACTTTGGACCCCTCCCACACCGTCCCCATACACCAGAAACCTCAAACCAATCCTGGCACAGGCTCCTACACAGTTCCACCTCAGATGTATTGTCAGCGCGCCGCGACCACCGCCCACATCTCAAACCAATCTGTTATAAAGAGAGGCACGTTCCCCTGCCAGGCATGTGGAGGAGATGGGAGGTCGTACAGATGAGATGGAGCCACCACCCTAAAAGACATCAGAGCCGGGCTGTAAACAAATAACTAACAGGGAACAAATAAACCCCGAGCTGCGGCTGAAGCTTTAGGCAGCTCAGCCTGCCGGCGGATAGGAACCTGTGGACCGCCAAACCCGGGGTTCTCAATCATTGGAGGCGGGTGTCAGAATCACAGGGGTGTCAGAATCACGGGGGTGTTTGTCACGTGATTGCCAGCCCCAGAGCCCTGGCCCTCCAGGGCTCTATTTTGCCTATTTGCCTCTATTTTGTAAATGCTCCCCGGTCAACTTTGTCCCTTGGTTCTCCAGAACCAGCGCTCCACAGTCCCTGGAATCCCCAGGAACCCTTAGCGTGCGCCGGAGGAGCCCTAAGGAGACTGGACCCGAGGTCAGCGGCGGACGCGTTACTATGGATACCCGGGGGGCGGGGGGAGGCCTGGGCACATCCTCGTGACGTCACTAGGGAGCCGACCCGGGCCGTGGGCGGGACACAACGCCCCAGCGCTCCGCCTCCAGAGCCGGGGGCGGGCGGCTAGACGGTTCTCTCCAATCACAGCTTCTGAAAGAGGAGCGCTGGCAAGTGTTCTCCAATCAAAGTTTGCAACGAAATTGATGCGTCCGTCCGCCAATCAACGCCGAGGCGCGAGGGGGTTGTCGGGAGCCAATATGGAGTCCTCAGTGGGATCGGGGTGAAATTGCGGTCCGGCTGCAACTGTTGTCCCGCCCCATCATGTTGGTGCACTTATTTCGGGTGGGGATTCGGGGAGGCCATGTCCCAGGCAGGCCGCTACTACCCCACCGCTTCCAGACATTCTCGGCCGTCAGGTAAAAAGGGACAAACCTACTGGGACAGGGGGCCCTTGACCCGCCGGCAGGGCGACGGGCCGCCGGGAGATGGAGTCCGGGCTCGCGCGAGGCTTGCTGGGAGCTGTAGGCCGGCCAGCCGGCCCGGGATGGAATGTCACTCCCCGGGGGCCTGGCCTCAATAATTTACCGAGAGGATCCAGGTGCGGTCTGGCCAGGTGCAGCCGGAAGCTCCGTGCCTCAGGGTCGGCGATCCCGCCCAGTCCGTGCTCACCACCAGGGGGCGCCGTGCCGCACAGGTCGTGCTCTGGAATTGGTCGAGCCCTGTGGACTAAATTTCTCAGTGGCCCTTCGGGTCTTGGTGGTGCTCTCGAGGTTCACAGTGAGCCGAACAAAATGGGGCCTCTCCCTAGATCCTTCCTTCAGAGGTAACGAATCTAGTCGCTCAGACGTGTGTTGTCCTACACTTTGGTCCACACTGAGATGAACAAGAACCCTGTAACTCCCACTCCCAAGGTCTATAGCCCAGGGCCAGGCACGCAGAGATTGCCAGCAGCTGAACCCAGCATCGTGGCTATGCGGAGAGGCCACCTGACAGAGGTGGCCAGCGCTGCTGCTGGAGCTGGAAGTACTGCTGCTGGGAATAGCTTATCTGTTCTTGGCAGTGACTGAGACCTTTTTAGGCCTTTGGAGATGAGAGGAGCTGGAGAGTGGCCATGATAAATTATTAAAATGCTTAGGAAAGAGTAAGGGTGGGCTTTATATATATATATATATATAAAGATTTATCTATTTATGCACACAAGATCTGGGGCACAGGCCAGAGGTGAGGGGGGTGAGCGGACTCGCCAGAGACAGAGTGGTGCAGAACAGGCAGCTCTACTGAGACACATTGCTGAGGGGAGCAGCTGGGGACAGAGAGGTCTGCCACGCCCCGGGGGTCACCCCTGGCCGGGAATTGACCTCCTGCTGCAGTGGCTGTGCACAGCTTCATAGTGCTGTGCTTTAACCCATTGTACCACCAGGGCAGGCCTGTGAGAGTCTTGACATTATTTAAACCGGAGAGAAGCCCAAGGAGAGACATCAAGTAACATCCAAGTATTTGTGCATTCACCAGTGCAGGGGTTCTCAAAAGTGCAAGTCACGACACACTGGCGTATGAATGAATTTAGTGGGTTGGGGCCACTTGGAAGTGAATGTAAGAACAGCTCAGAATGCATGGCAAAGAATCAGGGCAGGTGTTGTTTCATGAAACATTTCAGCCTTATGTGATGTGGTTCTGCTACAGGGTCACAGTGAAGTGTGTTCCTGTGTCAGCCTTAGTAGGTCTGGAGCTGTGCACTTGGGCCCAGTTAGGTCACTCTGCGTCGCGGACTTAACACTGACTGATCCCTGCTATTAGCAGAGCTCTCGGGGCTGGGGACAGCTGCGTGGCCGAGACCGGGAAATCGGACAGCACACAGGGCAGAAGGGGTGTGTCTCCGCCCGGGCATAGGCTGGACATCAGACCCACAGCGGGCAAGCAGAGGTCGGAGCCGGCAGGCAGTGGGGGTGGAGGGCGGAACCCAGCGCGGGCGCGAAGCACAGGCCTCCTGAATCCGGGCAGTTAGGGTGAGTCTGCCCTCAGGAGCACCCGAGCCTGTCACCCCAAAAGACAAGCCCCTCTCTTTGTGAAAAGCCTTTCCCCCACTTTTGGACTTGGGCCTGCCCTTCTCTCAGCCTGTTGTCACTTGGTTTCTGACGGGCCTCCCTGTGCCAGTCCTGGCCCCTCCAGCCCCGCCCGCCCCACCCCCTGCTGTGATCTTTAAAATGTAACTCTGGGGCCTCCCTCACACAGAGGGTCAAAGCTGACACAAAGAATCAAAGCGCAGCACTATGAGGCTGTCTCAGCCACTGCAACATGAGCCCGATCCCCGCCAGGGAGGGACCCCAGGGCGCAGCAGACCCCTCCTGTCTCCCCGCTGCAGCCCTCAGCGGTGGGTTTCAGTCCATCTGTCTGTTCTGCTCCCTGCCCTGTCTCTGGAGAGTCCTCTCACTGCCCCGCTCCCCAGACTTCCCACCTGTACCCCAGTATTGTATGTATAAATAAGTCTTTAAAAAATAAAATAAAATGCACCTCTGAGGTGACACATCCCAGCCTCCAACCAGCACAGACCTTGAAGCCTCCAAAGTCCTGGTGTTCCCTAAAGCTGTGCCCTCCCAGTGCCCAGGCCTCCGATCCCTCTCCGAGTGTGACCCCCACCTGGACCTGTCCCCACCTGGACCTGTCCCTCCACCTGCACACGGCACCCCCTCACCAGGAGCCTCCTGGGGCAGGCCCTGCCGCCCCTCGGCGGGAGGACCCTGTGCTGACCTCGCACATGCCCACCGCCCATCTTCAGCCTCCCGACGCGGGCCTGTTTCTGCGTCTCCCGCCCCTGAGCCATGGGCAGCGCCGCCCCTCCCTCTGCAGACAGGGAAAGGAGGCAGGCCAGTGGCGCCTGCTCGGCGGACGCGGCTGTGCCGGACAGCCCTGCCCTGGGCTGTGGAGGTGGAGCCCTGCAGCGCTGCCGCTGTGGCTCTGGCTGCAACAGGCCCAGGCCAGGCCAGGGCCCCCAGGGACGGCGTTTCTGCCGCCTTCCCCGGTGACTTTGCGTGTGCGTGTGTGTGGCTCTCGGAAACAGGTGCGCGAGCCGCCTGACAGAGGCTGCAGGCGCCTGGCAGAGCGCGGGAGCTCTCATCTTGAATGTCCACCCAGGTCGCCGCGGTCCTCAGTGCTGTCCGCTGTCCCCCACAGGAGCACCGACAGCCCTGGCTCCTGCCTGCTCCGGGCTGTGGCCCAGCTGCGGTTCCAGCTCCGGGCCCGCCTGCCTCAGGCGTCCTCACGGCCCCGCAGAAGCCCCACTGCCTGGCGCTGGGCTGGGGGCGTCCTCCTCGGCCCAGGGGCGCTGAGTCTGTGCCCCCGCCTCTACCTGGTGGCACTGTGTGAGCCTGAAGAGGCCCTTCCTGCGCGCCCGCAGCCCTGTGCTCTGGAGGCCCGCTTCAACTGGAAGCTCTTCTGGCAGTTTCTGCAGCCCCACCTGCTGATCCTGGGGGCAGCCATCGTGGTGAGGTCTCCCCCTGCACACCGGGGCCGGGAGGTGCCCAGCCAGAGCTCCGCAGGGACAGTGTCCAGCCCTGCCCAGAGCCAGGGACCTCAGGCTGCAGCAGGGGCGGGGGTGCCAGGAGCGCCGGCACCCAGCTGCTGGGGCAGCGGGGCACCCCGGGCTGACAGCTTTGCCTCTCACAAGGCTTAGAAACAGCCAAACGTGGACAGCAGCTGAGAGGAAGGGCCAAGGTCGGGGTGCTGGCAGGGGAGACCTGGCCCCCCTAAACCACACCTCCCCCAGATGGCCCTGGGTGCGGCGCTGGTGAACGTGCAGATCCCCCTGCTCCTGGGCCAGCTGGTGGAGATCGTGGCCAAGTACACGCGGCAGCGCGTGGGCAGCTTCCTGACCGAGTCCCGGAACATCAGCAGCCACCTGCTGCTCCTGTACGGCCTCCAGGTACAGCGGAGGGCGGGCCTGGGGCGCGGGGGCCGCGTGGCCCGGAGCCTCGCCAGCACCCGCCTCTCTCCCAGGGGCTGCTGACCTTCGGCTACCTGGTGCTGCTGTCCCGCGTCGGCGAGCGCATGGCCGTGGACATGCGGAGGAACCTCTTCAGCAACCTGCTCCGGTGCGGCCCAGCGGGCGCGGGCAGGCTGACCAGTGCCTGGTGGGGGGCCAGGGGCCGTGGGGGGCAGCCTCCCCTGGAGTCACGTCTCCCTCTTCCCACACCCCGCCGCAGCCAAGACATCGCTTTCTTTGATGCAACGAAGACGGGGCAGCTGGTGAGCCGCCTGACCGCTGACGTGCAGGAGTTCAAGTCCTCCTTCAAGCTCGTCATCTCCCAGGTCAGTGCTCACGCTCCATCTGGCGAGGCTGCGGCCAGGAGTGGGAAGCGCCGGGAGAGCTGCCCAGGGGCCAGGTCAGACCGGCCGTCTGCTCTCCTGACATCCTGCCCCCTCGCAGGCCCCCCCACCCCCAGGCCCCAGACAGGAGCGCTCCCAGCCCTGCGTGCCAGGCCCCGAGCCACTCCCCCTGCCTTGGCCCGGGAGGCCGGGCACGCTGACAGCCCCCACGCCGTCGCTGGGCCGCCGGGCGACCCAGACCTGTCGCCGTCACCCTCCTCCTTTTCTGCCCTCCGTCTCCAGGGCAGGAAGAGAAGCCAGATGGGCC